TGTATATCTATTTGTAATTAATGAACTGGATGGTTCATCAATTAAGGCGTATATCTCATAAGACATCAACTTCTTTGCATTATTTATATAATTAATTTTTTTATTTATATCAGCTTTCAATAACAATGGTTTGTAAGTAAAAGTATAAGCCTGGTCAACATGATAATTTGTTGATGGAATGTTAAGTGACTTGTCGGGTTGTTCATATTGTACATCGGAAGAAATCGCATGATCTGGTTGTGTATTAGTTTTCCAATAAAAATCATTTTCGTCATTTTCAGTTTTCAATAATAATTTTGAGTTTTGCTTAAGTTTTCTTTTATTTAAAATTTCATCTAAAATTATAAACATTACACTTTTAAAAACATTGTAAAAAATATTGTATAAAGAAGAGGCGAAGAGCAGGTTAGTGTATAGCCTCCTCCTCGCCTTTTTTGAATCTTTAGATGCTAAAATTTTAAAAAGTAATACAACAAAACTAGTTACCGACTCGTCAAAATTTTATTTAGACTATTTTCTTCATTTAATAGAAAAAATTAATAGGTTTCCATTTAAAATTCAAATTTTATCCCTAAAATCTATCCTTAATACGTTTATCTTACGATACACTTGATACTAACTACAGATCATAAAAATAAATCAATTTTAATTTGTACATTTTTATGAAAAAATCATTATTTAACGAAAAAATGAGTGGTAATATTTTTAATAAACTTAACCGTACATATACAGGGTGTTCAGTAAATAAGGAAACGAATTTCTATTGTACTCATTGTTTGTAACAATTTAACTGTTTCCTAACTTACTGAACACTCTGTATATTACTTTACTAATTATTTTTATGAATAATTTTATATATTAAGAATTCTGCATTTGAACAAAAATTATTTCGATTACACGTTTAACTATTATTTGTAAACAAAATTTACATTTAAAAGATTAAACAATAACTTAGATTTTGCTAATATAACGTTAAAAAAAATTATGGCTATTTATCTAAAAATTGTAGCATATTATAAAGTAAAACATTAATTTTCTTCTTATCAGTTGCAATTAAAGAAAGAGGTAAAAACCTATAATAAAATTGATAAAATTATACTTAGATTGTATAAAGCATTTCTTTTGAAATATATTTGAACTTTTCATATAAATTTCCCACTACTTGTATAATTTAACGGAAGAGAATCATACACGCAATTCGGTCAAATTATTTGGGATATTTCATTCAATTTCTTTCCTCTTTTGAAAAAAAATGTTCTATAAATAGACCAAATTTTATCATTATTGGGATACTGCGATAAAATTTCTAGGATCGAAACACCTCAACCCCCTCGTTTATATCAGTTATACGAAATCAAACTTCGATACTAACGTAGTGGCATATACAAGAGGGGAGCTAAAGGAGCTCTAGTTCCCCCATTGATCAGTTATTACTATTATCAGTAAATAATTTTGGCACTAGTGGGATAAGTCAAGATAAAAAGACCTAAGTACTCATAAGCAAAAATCCACTGTACCTACACACCAAAGCACATCTCATTTCCGAAACCTATACAAGTTTGCTTGACAAATTTATAACTATTAAACTACATACCACTAAACACTGTTGGTACCGCATCATAAACCAGTCTATTTCTTGTCGTCACATTCAAAAACATTTTATTTTCGAAATGGTCCGCGCATACTTTGAAACTATTAGTTTTAATTAAACGATCAAATAGGTGTGTAGTATTACAATATTTCATCCATTTTTTCAAACGTTCAAGTTCTCTTGGGTACGAAAAAAAACTTTTATTCCTGAAACATGCTTTATTTTCACAAAATTGCACAGAACAACGCATTCCTGTTTTAGTTCTCCTCATGATACAAAAAATCTGAAATTTTTTTTAATTAAATTATCTTTTCAAAAAAATAAAATAATAATAATAATTTATACGTTTTAACTATTGACAAAATTTTAATTATTTTAAAATGTTAGTCACATATTTTAATGTATGCATATTTTTTAATATTTAAAACTCAATCATACATGTGATCAAGAAAATGATAAGAAATTAAAAAACTTTTTTACTCAAGTTTTTAAAGTTTGAGTAATAAATTACCTAAAAACAAAACAAAACAAAAAATTTAAATTAAGGTTAGACTATTTGTAAGTTGTAGATAAATACACTGTTTTATTATTAGACTGAGTAAGTTATCTGTATTCTTATAGACTATCTAACAATCATCCAAGCAAACAATTATACAATTGACTATTTATTCTTTCAATTAGTTCTTTATAGAATAATAAAAATTGTATGCCTAAAACATTTTTTGCTTTCAAAAAATGATGCAAAGAAATGTCCAATCCATTAAACTAGTATCTTAAGAAAAATATTATTTATTATTTATAATATTAATATTATATTACCAACAGTAGAGTAAAAAATATTGCAGACACTATAAAAGACTATGCATACATTAAATAATATGTATAATAAATACTTCAGATGACAAGAAACCTACTCAACTGATAATTTATTCAGAAATAATGTTCAATTTTTAACAAATTTTTACATATTGTTTTGTGTTAGTTTACAAATTGTGACACTAAAAAATATAAAAGAAAACACACAAAGAAAATTATTTTTTTACAAGACAGTATTACACAGATATTAATACATTAGAAGTTAAAATATATTAAGACTGGATTCCTTTAAAATCTTTAAATATAACATACATAGAAAAATTAAATAAAAGAGCATATAACAAAATCAAAACTTAATAAGATACTTATTAAAGACCCAACTTATTGCTGAGTTCAATTAAAAGTAAAATATAAAAATGTTTTCACTAATTATTTTGACATTTTCATGACATTCTATTATTAAATGGTATTCACCAGACATCATTGATTACAAACCATCTTATAATCTATACAATATGTAGTGATAGTATTCTAAGGTTTTAGATATATGTTTCTTAAATTGTAATTATTAATTTAATTTGTATACTCACTATCTAATAAAACACTAATTGATATTTTCATAATTCATTTTCTACTCAATTATCTTTTTTTTTAATTTAAAATTTTTTTGTAATAACTTTCCATGTTTACATAACATTTATTATTTAAAATTAAACTAATGTCTTAAATTATTAATACTATTGGTAATAAGATTAGTAATTAAGACACTCATACCAAGTAGATAACTTAATAAAAACAAAAAATGTATATAAAAAAATAAAATAAAATAGTTTATAGGTAGCAGTTATACTAGTAGTTAGATTATATAGTAGTTAGAGACCCATATAAAGAAATCCATTGTATGTTTTATGTTTTGGTATATTACATATAATTTTTAATTTCTATTTTTATAGACAAGCTACTTGTATGAAATTTAACTTAAATTTAATTTAACTCTTATTGGAGATCAAAACTTAGAACTTACTTATTTTGGAATACGTTTTCAAGTTAGGGTACTTAATAATTAGTCTTATTAATTACTAATTGTGGTTAAAATATAATTTTTAAATTGTAATATTTAAATAAACATACCTAAGGTNTGTATGAAATTTAACTTAAATTTAATTTAACTCTTATTGGAGATCAAAACTTAGAACTTACTTATTTTGGAATACGTTTTTAAGTTAGGGTACTTAATAATTAGTCTTATTAATTACTAATTGTGGTTAAAATATAATTTTTAAATTGTAATATTCAAATAAACATACCTAAGGTTTGGACAACTCTATGACAACATCAATACAGAAAACACATTTTAAAATAATGCGATTTCGAATATGAGATAAAATCGCACATAATAATAAAAAACTAATTTCAATTTTTAACTTTAATTGCTTAAAATTCTATCATATATCAATTACAATATATTTCATCAATACATAAGTAATAAATCAAAATTATTTAATTAAAAAGTCTATTGAATAATTTGAATTATGATAAAAATTTATATTTTGTGATAAGACGGTCATAATGAAGAAAGAAAAGGGGATAACAAGTACGAAATGTTAATATACAAATCATAATTTAATTTTATATAAAAATACTACAATCATCTAAATTAGAAATAGTACCCATCTCACAATTTTCAACATTTTTCTGCAGAGACTATTATTATGACACAAAATGTCCTAAAATAGCCAAATATAGAATCTATACTCAGCTCATATGGTAAAAGTATGTTCGTGATATAGGTAAATTCTTGATATTTTTTTAATTTTTGTGCCGAAGATACCTTCACGAGCATCAAATGGGTAAAAATATTATTTTTTACGTTTAACTTTTTAAGTATAACAATTATAAAAAAATTGTACATAATCATCGTTGTAGCTAAATATATTACCATCGGAAAAAACGTTTTAAAATTTGGTATATCACGAAGTTACATTTATCATAAATAAAGGTAGTGTAAAAAAAGTATTTTCAGTATATTTCAATGCTGAAATGGTAGCTCCAGCTATTATGGTTAATTAACATAATGACCATTTATAAAGCAGCAAAATAAACTGGAGTTAATTACGAAATTAAATCCCTCATTATAAAATTACCTAACATTTTTTTGACGACTTTTGAATTACGAGTCAAGAGTCAGAAAATCTAAAATTTATATTAATATACAATATGTTTATTAAATAATTATGTCAATTTTACAAATTTACCTTACTTTATTCTATATACTCGGCTTAATACTAACTGATAGTATTAATAGAACAATTGACGTAACGAGTTCTATGATCCTGTCCAATGTATAATGCTAATATTTTTGGTTAATCTCTTTTGTAATCATTTAGGTACTGAAAAAATGTATTATTAATTTTTTCCAAAACTCGCATTTAAAAAGTAACTAGTTATGTATTTTTTAATTAAAGTAATTTCATTACATTTTTAAAAAAATAAGGAACTAATAATAATAAAACTTTTGGCAGTATAATGAGTAATAGTGATTTTATTACTTTTTACAAATAATTTGATTAAAAATTAAGCTGAATAATGGTCGCCACAAATAAATAAACAAATTCACATCATTGTAAGGTTAATATTTTATAAAAATTATAACAAAGCTAAAACATATAATAAAATTTTGATATAATAATATATAATTTATAAAATTTATATAAAAATATATGCATAAGAATACAAAAAATTTACTTTTTTTTTATACTTAACAATAAAATAAATTCCAATAATAAATTAAAATTCATAATTACAAACATTTCAAAAATTACCAAATATACTCCTTTGTTTTTCTATGTGGGATTTAACTTTTTGAAATAGATCATTTGGTAAATATTTTTCACTTAATTTCAGGTAACGTGGTGAAATATATCGTCTACGCTTTTTTTTATGTGATTTTTTAAATATTTTTACATCTTCTTTGGGTTGTCTTTCAATTATACATTTTTGATACATTGAACTATCATTTGTTGAACAAACCGTTTGATTGAAAAAATTAATATTTGAAGATAAAGAGCTACTCGTACATGGTTCATATAAAAAGTCACTAATTTTGGACTGTAATCCTGAATTATTTATGTTTTCACTCATATTTTGGTGAGTTAAATTGAAAACACCGAATTCTTTTGTTTTGTCTATTTCTGCCTTGAACACTAAATAATTCAAAATATCGCCTTTTGTTTCATTTAAATGGTCCTCAGTAATAGTTAATAAAACATCTTGTGTGCTACATGGTTGTATAAATTTTACATCGTTAGATATTTTAGTCTCAGAAAATGAATTAATATTATCATATTGAAATTCACTATTTACACTTCTCCTTTGCAATTCTAAAGCAACTTGACTATCATTCAGTTCTTTATATTTTAAAAATTCATCTAAAACCAGAACATATATAATCAGTTCAAATAATTTAAATAATATAAAAAATTGTTTTTTATAATAACTATTAAAATATCTTTGCAAAATGTGTAACAATATTTCTATTCTTTCGATAATATTCAATTACATTTAATTTTCAATTAAATTATCAAAAACTAATGCAACCTTAAAAAAAATGTATTACGATACGTAAATTTATATAAAAATAAAATAATATTTAAAATAAATTAATAATATATTTTTTTATTGTAAGTAAACAAATGCTCTGAAACGTCAGAGAAATATTTTTTTAAAGTCAATAATTTGCTATGTAGTTAATATAAGTGATGGGCATTTTGGAATATTTTAAACTATCGAATGTTTTTATACAACCGAATAGTTTATTTTTAGCATTAACTATCGAATAGTTTTAAAAAAACTATTCTATTAGTTCTACCTAAAATTTTTATTCAGTACACTTAATTTTTATAAGAAAATAATTAACGAATACTTAAAATAAATTATTATACAATTAAAAATTAGTGATGGGCATTTTCAAATATTTTAAACTATCGATTAACTATTCGAATTGTGTTCATATAACCAAATAGGTTATTTTTAGTATAGATTATCGAATAGTTTTTATTGTGTAACTGTCGAATATTTTTATTGTTCGAATAGTTATTGAATTACTAACGAATAGTTCGATAGTTATTATTCGATATTTCCCATCACTAGTTAATATATAACGGTCATTTTGAGCGATCCTTTGTATTTTTAACACGTTTCATTTAGTTGTAACGAAGTTTTTCGATAAAAAATTTATCGCGCAGTCCCGCCATCTCCCGTTCTTGTGAAGTATGAGCAGTCATTTGTTTTTTGACTCTTCAAAGCAATACCACCGCAATATTCATCGACACCTTGTTGACGTGTCTCGTAGTGATGTAATGAGTTGTCAGCATATTACCTAATGTATCAGATTATAAGGAGTATAACAATATAACAATATAAGGAGTAGAAAACAGTGATTTCTGACGACCTTTTCGAAATATTTAAGAAAAAGTGCGAAACTACTCTCGTGTGTCTCTCACAGACCTTCATGGGATGAGCCACTCCTATTTTAGAAACATCTGTTTATCATATTTGCACCAAATTAAAGAAATATTTTGGTAGTCGCTGTTTTAACAACAATGAGAAGGCGGTGACAGATTTCTATGATACTGCCTTACAAAATCTGATACCTAAACTAAAAAAATGCTTGATGGCGACAACGTCGTAAAATAGTTTAATATATTCTTTAAATAATCTGTTAATTTCATTTAAATATATGCATATTTCGATTTTCAATGAAGTTTGTGATCTTACTTTCTGGACTATCCTTGTATTATTTATTTATATTTAAGTACTGAATATTTTTAACTACTCACCGTCAAATATTGTTGGCACTGCAGTTCTCAAAAGTCTATTATCACATATAAACATTTTTCTTTCAAAATGTTTTTCACATACTCTAGGACATTTAGGAGAAATAACTTTTTCAATAAGATACTCCACTCCACAGTTTTTTATCCAAACAGCACAAAGATTATCATCCTTGGGAAATTTAAAAAAAAAATTGGTTTTTTCATTTTCACGTCTTCTACTATTACAAAATGGCACAGTACACATTTTTTTTATTGCATAATGTAAACCTTTAGGTTTTTTTAATGTTGCGTTATTAGAAATAAAAGTTTTAGGACCTAAATTAACATGTTGAGATTGAAAATTATTATCCGTTTGTTCAGTTTTTATTTTTAAAACAACTTGATTATCTTTCTGTTTCATTGTTCCATCTAAAACCAGGAAAATAATTCCATTACATTATAGAATGTTTAATAAATAAGAAAACGGGTTTCTATTGTTCTCAATATTTGTAATAACTGACCTGTTTCCTTACTTACTATACACCTTGTATATTTAAAAAGTTGTCGAGATGGATGTATTTCATTTCCATGCCACCTAAACATCCAGCATTGACTACGGGAAGAATACGAGTTCACTTTAATACTTCTTTTTTATCATTTTGTATTGAAATCAGTTGTAAATACATTGTTGGCTGCAAAAAAATAGCCAAATACAAATAATCAGAACCCCGCGATGACCATTCCTTGAGTGAACCCTGATTATTTATTTACATAATAATTCTGTGGTTTTATTCGAAATCTCATAGGTTATAATGATAGTTTTTTTAGATATTTTTTATCGTATATTAAAAAATTAATATTTTAAAATTACAAATTTTTAGAAGATCTCTTAAAAGAAGAAATCTAGATGGTTTCTTTTTTTTTTCACTTCACGCGTATAGCAATTGCAGCTTTAGGACCTATGCAATTCAATAAGATTTTACGTCTATTGATTTTTTTACCGACTATAGCATATAAAAAAAACAATGCGGGCGCCAAGCTTTATTAACTGAATTAATGATCTTTATAGCGATGTTAAACACAAATGATGTATTCATGTTGCACACATTTAACTAAAGTGAGGTTGCCAATCAAATAAACTTTTAACTATAATATTTTGAATTAGTTAAGTCGCAATATAATTTCATTATTCTCAAAATAATGTACTTTATAGCTTAGTTGAAATCTATCCTTAATATTTTATGATATGCTGAGAAATATAATTTCTTACCTTGTGTCCAACTAGCTTCATCGTTTTTATAAATATATTTTCAAAAATAAAAGAACTGACTTTGATTTAATGAGTTACTTTTGAAAGAAAAATTAAACTTGAAATATTATTTCACATTAAATCCTTTCTACACTTGGCATATAAATATTTTTGTTTTTTATTATATTTGTAATGTATTTAAATAAAATATATAAATTGTGTATTCGATATGAGAGTCGACATAGTTAAAGACAGAGTGGCTAATACCATCGGAGATAATACTCGTTGATACGCGGCCCTTACAGAGTCTAAAACTGCTGCCGAAAAGAACGTGATAGCAAACAAGAATCAATCCCTCGTGACACGTCACAAACTATTGTTTTACCATTAGTTTCAACCGCTGGATGTGCAAGGGTAATGATCTTAATACACCATCATTGTCTTATGCAATCAATCGAACACGTATTTATCTAAATGTAAAATACACTCTACGATCTACTTAGTGACACGCACAGACTATTGTTTTGCCAATAGTTTCAACCGGACGATGTGTTAAGGTAGATTTTTGAAATAGGATTAACTCACAATAATAAAATTTATACAAAAATTAATTGTTCTAATGATTATTAAATATTTAAAACTTAAATAAAATAATAATAAATAAAAAGAAAATATTATTAATTTTTAAATACGTTATTACTGAGAGAGTTAGATAAAAACAACAAGTATGAAAAAGATTCTTACTCAAATATAACATAACCGCGTAACAGTCTGTTGCAGGTACGCTTTCATTACCAAATTTTTTTTTTAAAAATAAGGTTCGAATGAGCCAGAAATCGCTCTTTTATAAGCCTATTTCTAAGGGGGATAAATAGATTTAATTAGAAGACGCTTCTTATTGGATAATCAATTAAATTTAAATGAACGTGTACGCAACCTATTATTCAATGTTTTGAGTTAATATTTTATAAGGGCCTTGTTGTTTTGTATCTATAATCTCCAGAAAAATGAGGTATCGATAAGGCCTACCGATCAATTTCATTGAAATTTACAGATATATTTTTATTAGATGTTTGGGGAGGGAAATTCGAAATAATGTAGTTAACATTTTGTTTTAAATTTTTATTACTCATGTGGTATTGTTATCATTTGAAAATATTAATTTCCAGAGAAAAATAGATATTTAATTTGTATTACTTTTAGTGATATATTTTAATATGATACAACTTACTATTGAATATCATTAGGATTGCAGTATCCAATAGTTTTTGAAATTTTTCTTTTAGAATTAAAAAACACTTAACTTTGAAATCAACAGTTATAATGGATATGGACATTACTTGTAATGAATTAAGGATAGAAAACATGTTCCAAGACATTATTACACTGTTAGAGAGGAGCTGAATTTGCGATTACATAAAATATGCTTATGTTTTGAAATTATATTTTTTTCATGACAATGGCCGCGCTGGATAAACGTAACTGAATATGATCAGTTCATATTTCAATTCAAGTAATCAAAAAATGGAAGAAAAACATTTTTTTACTAAAAAATTACACAAATCAAAAATAAAAAATTATATGATAATAGAAGTATTTATAAGAACATACAATTTTTCTGTGAAACAATTTTTTTTTATTAGGCGATTAATAAAAAACAATTCATAATTATATTATTTTATTAATAATAATTATAATTATACACATATTTAAAGGATATATAATTCATATAATTTTTATAAAACTAAGTTGCACATTTTTTTTTATGTATATTTTTTAAAAATACATTATCAAACACATAAAACAATAATACTTAAAAGTAATTCTATTTTAATTCTAAAAGTATTGTCTTAGACATTTTTTAAAATTTAATTATATCATTAAATTATATTTGTTTAAAATACAATTTCGTAATTACTTATCATAAAAAATTAAATTTAACAGTGAACATTACCTAAATAATAATGTACACAAAAATGGTAATGTTATTCTGATCATAATGAGTTTTTAGAAATTTTCAATTGTTTTACTTTTTGTTTTCAAAATTTACCAAAAATTTTTCTTTGTTTTAGAACATGATCTAAGACATCATCAAACAAATCTGGTGGTAAATATTTTTTACTCATTAAAAGGAAATTTCTTGAAGATTCTTTTTTATTCACAAATTGTTGTAAACGAGCTATACTTTTTTTAATCTTTCTTACTTGATTAATAGAACTGCCATTGCTATTTAATTTATCCTCTTTGTCAATCGATAAATATTTTTTCATATCATTAAGCATTAATTGTGGACTTGAAGATAACGAATTATTAGGCATATTTGTTATCGAATACATGTTAGAAGAGACGAATGAATTCTTTGCACTATCGTCTATACATTTATACTTAAAACTATCTGTAAATTTAATCGAGTCATTCTTTTCTATTTCAAATTCTAACGTATTACAAAAATTTGGTTGCAAACGACAGTTGTAGTCATCGACAAGGTGTACTGTTGTTTCGTTGAGTTTTTCAAAATTCGTTTTTACATATTGTTGTTTTAGATTTAAGTTCTGTTGATTCAAACTAGTATGAGACGAACACTCTGGCGTTTGACCACCACAATCAAAATTTGTAAATGATACTGATTCACTATTGATTAAATCCATTGTTCTATTTGTTTCAGTTTTTGTAACAGAAGAGTTAAACAAATCGGGTTTTGATTCACTGAAGTGTTCATCGATATAAGGTGATGGCAAACAAAATGAATTACTTTGATCTTTATTCTGTTCACCATAATTCAAACAAGTTTCATGAGCTGAGCTAATATTTAGACAATGAGACTGTGGTTTAATAGTAGATTTTAGGAAAACTTCACTTTCTTTATGATTTATATAATTTATTGATAGGTCTAAAATCAAAATACTAATTTGATTAATGAATAAATCGATATTTATTTATAAAAATTAAGTATATGTTTAACTACGCTCAAATTTTTTTTTAATAATTAACGTATGTTTCTTAATAATAACTAATATTATTTGAATTAAAATTGTGTATAATATTAATTACAGTCGGAAACGAATTATATGAAATATATTATAGTAATTAGATAATTAGTTTAATTATAATCTTATTTGAACAAAAAAAAAATTAACATTGTATTTTGTCATATGATTAGTTAATAATTTATCATTGAAAATTTTAATTTTTAACATAAAATTATAGTTTTAGTTTTAAATACCAGAATTTTTTTTCCTGTATATAAGACATAATTAAAATTCATACTCGCCCAAGATACCTATATAATAGAATAAAAAACAATACAATACTTGTTTTATCATAAAGCAGTCGAATAAACTTCTCTTATGAATATTATTTTGTATTATAAATGCAAAAAGATTTAAGTTCATTATTGTTACTAATCGAGAGAAGTAAAAGACTATTTTTCACTTCACAAGACTCCTAAAACTACTATTATAATTTAGAAAAATCGTGGTAAATATCTAAACATCAAAATTTCACACTATAATACACCTATAAGTGAAATTTAAAGCAATTGTACATAGAACCTTCTGTTCCTCAGAAATTATTGTTCTAAGTTCTATATACATTTATTTACAACGAGGTATATATTAAATCACTTTTCACCTATTTTAAACAAAATAGACAACGATCATTGAATTACATTTATGATAATTAATGATAACAAATATACATCTCGAGGGAGCAAACGAATTCCGTTCTTTTTCTAACTTGATCATGAATGAATTACAAAGAAACATCACTACATTTTACCATTTTTACGCAGATTATAATGACTTATAATATACTTTAAAAATATAACCTTACTTCTAAATTATTAACCAAATCAAGATTTATCAATGACTAATTTAATAATTTTATGACAATATAGGTAACTACTCACCACTAAATAATGTTGGAACCGCAGTTGGCAAAATTGATTGCTTTTTAAACATTTTAGTTTCAAAATGTTTTTCACATACTTTGAGCCGTTTACGAGCATTAAGTTCTTCATAAAAATATTCCAGTCCACAATTTTTTATCCAAACACCGCGGAGATTATCATCCTTTGGAAATGTATAAAACTTAAGGGGTTTCCCATTCTCTATTCTTCTACTAATATTAATGCAAAATGGCACAGAACATAAATTTGATAATATCGACTTTCTGACTTTATCGTGGAAAAAAGAATTTAAAGGATTTGAATTGATATTTTGATTTGGAAACTCAGTATTTACTTGATTATCTTTCAGTTCTTTATGTTTTAATGTTTCATCTAAAATCAGCAAAACCATTTTATTGGTCAAAATAGTTTCAATCGTGAGCATTCTCATCGGGTAATATAAGAGAAAAAACCCTCCACGATGAAAATAAATATATGGTAAATATGTATTTTGAAGGAAGTAAAAAAGAATTTCTTATCACCAAGAAGAAATTCTAGGAATGCCATTGGTTATAATAAAACAAAAACTGTAAAATTTTCTTAACAAGAAACTTTGTTTGATGCTATTATAAAACTAAACCATACAAAACGTTATTTTTTGTCTTTATGCATACTTAAAAATCGACATAATTTTTGTTGATATTAAAAACATGCATATATGTCAAAAATTCGAGAAAAAAATGCTGTTTTATTGTTATTAACACTTTTTCATTAGTTAAATATTTATAATTACGAATTTGTGAAAAAATTTCGACAATATTCCGAGTTAATTTCAAAGTTTTTCCATCAATTTAAATAATTGAACGCATAATAAAGATAAATAAAATCTAATTACATCATCATGTTCAGCGTAACTATATACGTAAATCCGTGAGATATATATTTACTCAATTAAAGTATACCTGCGATAGAAAAGTGTTTATAACAAAAAAAAAAATTAATTTTCAAATACATGCAGATTTTTTCTATTAGTATTATTTTCTATAATTTCTAATACTATCAGTTTTTGATTACGCATTTATACAAATATAACGTTTTTAAAATCCTCATAAACTTTACTGTTTAATGGTTAAAAATTCATAATAAAAGTTAAACCAAAAAAAATCACGGTGAATAGTTCGACTTAAATGTTTGATAAATTAGTTTTTAAATTAAGATAAAAAGCCACTAAAAAAACGGGTTAAACTTATCGCAACAGTGTCACATTTAGCACAAGTCTTTTATAACATAACTAAAATAAATTAAAAAATTTCAAGAAAAATTTTCTTTAATATTTTTTATGAGTTTTTTAGAGTGTAATTATTGCTTTATTCCTAATTAGTAATTATCTTAAAAACGAAATCTAAAAGAAGTATTGGAATCAGCAGTAAAATTCTGGAGAAATCATCTCAATATTATAAACCGCATGTATATACATATTTATGTTCCTATGTAGTAATTTTATAATTTATGTATAAAAATTATGCAAAATCACACAATATATTTTCAGAAGTAATGCGAAATAATTTGTAAGGATGACATTATCACTCGGTCATTTTATTATTTGTTCATTATAAAACAATTATTTTTTACTTAATAAACTAAAGTTTACAATATTTTAAAAGAGGAAATGGCGTTAAGACTAATTTTTTTATTTTAATTATAGAATGATATTTAATTACAAAACGAATTTCTGAAAAGGAAAATTTATATTATGACAAATATTTTAAAAATATTACCTCGTGTATAAAAAAGTTAAGTAAGGGAAAATTAAATTTAATATCACTTTAAGGAACTTGCTCAAATTTAGCTCATGAACTTAACATAAATATCATAGCACCATAGCAATAAAAAGGAAGAGGGCTCATGATACGAACCGTATTCAACATGTTCAAAATATTACACATTACCACTAACTATAGTCACAGACAAATGGCAACGGTCAGTTGGGGGAGGTTTAAAGTAATAGATCCCCTTTAATCAACGACCCTTTTTGGCATTTAGAACAATCTTCATATTTTATATATTGGAAACTAAGTAATATGAAAGACATTTTTGTATAACGAGTAGCCCACAATTGTATCCTGAAATTGTTGATACAAATAAAAAAGTCTTAGTGGTTACAGATTCTACACAAATTTTTATCATAAAAGTTTTTCATCCCCTCTAATGACAATATTATTTAACCACCAGACGAACCAATTTATTATGACGAACTCAAATATCCACAAGGGTTCCAATTAGATGTTTTCTTAAAAAATTATTAGTTAAGAATAATAATAAATAACTACTCACCATTAAACAATGTTGGAACTGCATCGTGATGCAGAGAACAAAAATTATTTAAACGCCGATACATTGTTTTTTCAAAATGTTCTTCGCATATTTTAGGACATTTAAAATACGACAGGAATGCTTCAGGTTGAAAATCCACGCCACAATTCTTCATCCAAATATTACGGAGTTTCTCATCTTTTGGAAATTTAAAAAAGCTAATTCTTTTAAAATCTATATTGTTACTATTGCAAAAAGGTACAGAACATCTTTTATAGTTTCTTTTGTAGACCATTTTAGTATATAATTAATTGATAAATATGTTATTTTAAACGTTACATTAAATACGTTAAAAATAATATCTGCACTAATTAGGTGATAATTCTTAAAATCGAAATTAAGATGATTGCATTATGCGCACTTCAAGATGTAAACAATATACCAGATAACAAAAACGACAATTTGAATGGAATGTATCAAATATCCGTTAAACTGCAGGCGTTCCATTTACCGAACGCTTTGATATAATATCGAACACAACCCGAAAAAATTGATTGTACAACTGGCCACACTGAATAGTAAATTTGAAAAAATTACAGTCAATCAGTTATCTAAATATTTCTAAATCTTCGGTAATAGCATCTATAGGTAGAATATCGAAAAATAGATTTTATAGAATTTCATAAAATCCGTTAAAATATGTACTGGTAAGATACTTTTAATACCTCCTATAAAAAACCATTTTTATCAAAAATAACATTAAAACTAAAAAACGATACATAAAAATATAGTCAAAGTAACCATATATGATTTCTTAGCGCAACCAGAATTTTTCAAGGAGAAGCACTTATGACGCAAGCCTTTACAAAACCTTGGATAAAAAAATTATAACATATGCGGTGCCTTCAGTAATATAACGATTTCAGGACGATGGGAACCAGATCAACTGTCCCTACTCCCACTATCCCTGGGTATAGGTCTATTATTTTTTTTTGCTCCACAAAAAAATTGTTCTCTTTATCAGTATTTTTTTTAAATTAGTAAAAAAAAATGAATAAAATTTTTTTGAATGTATCGCCAAAATTGTTATATGCGTCTAAAAAGATAAAACACCACTATTCGTTTCGAGAGGGGGATTACAATTTCCCTAGTTGTATCACTGACTAAAAAGACAATTACGGGATTATTATGTTTACTACACTCGAGTGCTATACAAAATCTAATGTGCATTGAACAAATTTCAAGATTACACATTAGTCAGTACATGCTGTAAATTTCGTCTAAAATTGACGAGTTTATAAATAAAAAAACAAATTATGTAACACAAATATAAAAATTCAGTCTTGAATTAACTACATATTTTTATTAGAGTTAATTGTATTTTATCCAAAATAAATATGCAAAATTATCAGTACTAACGTAAATATCATAAAAAAAAAATTATATTTTTATTGTTTGGAAAATTGATAAAGAAAAAAAAACGTTTAAGTCAAGATTATTTATTTAATAACATTATATTATTGAGTAATTTGGGGTAAAAGAACGCATTTTTTTTTTTAACGCATATAACTTGTAATATATAGTAATTTTAATTTTTTAACTAGACAAACTATCAAAATATAAATTAAGTTTTAATTGAAATAAAAATAAAAGTTTATACTTACCTTAAAGTTGAGATAAGAGTATTTGTGTAAGTTTGAAAATTTTCAAGGATAATTTAAATATTTTAAATTTTAAAAATATGGGTTTTATATTTATGATTTTATATAAAATATTAAAATTTAATTATTGTTTATTAATAGTGATAGTAAATAATGGTATTACTGAATCACAGATGTTTTAACTGAAATAAAACACGATTTTGATAATTGGTAATAATTAGTTATCAAACTTATTAGTTATAATACTAATTAAAAATTTTGTTGTTTTTTAGTGACATCTAAGAGTAGTAATGAAGAGATTTATTAGGTAACCCTAAAGATAAAGTAGATGAAGGATGAAAATCTAAAAAATAATACAATATGAAAGATATAATAATTGTTATGTAGGACAAACAAAAAGAAATATAGTACTCAAGTTAAACAACTAAGTCAGAGAACACTTAAAAAACATTAAAAATCAAAACATTAATAAATCTTTTGTGGCTGAACATTTATTGGCACATAATCATTTCATTTAAACTATTCAACTACTTAATAACATAAATAATTACAAAGAACATGATATAAAGGAGATAATAAAAATATTTAACAATAAGAATAATTAAACTAATTGGTATCTTGGCCCACTGCAAAATAAATTATTGAAATTGTGGAAACTGGCAAAATGTGACAATCATCTAGGCCCTAGGTGATAACATTAATAAGTGATAATATCATTAGAGAGTGTTTTAGTCTAAATTATAAAATAAAAACTACCAAAACAATCCCCTCAAAAATCACCAAAAATACTTCTTTGTTTTTCTATGTGACTTTTAACTTTTTTAAATAAGGTAGGTGTTAAATATTTTTCACTAAATTTTAGGTAATGCGTTGACAATTTTCGTGTTCCTCGTTTGTTTTTTAATTGTTTCCTTTTTACTCTTTCGTTTTTATGTTGATCTTCAATTATTAACTTCTGATCTATTGAACTATCAACTGCAGAATATGCCATAGTTTCATTTAAGAAAGTTATATTTGAAAATATAGAACTATTTGTCTTATCTAAAAGGAAACCTTTGTTTAACTGTATTACAGAATGATTTTCCTTTTCGTATTTCTGTTTTATAATATTAACATCTAAATTTGTTTTTTCATCTATATCTGTCCTAAACACTAAATAATTACAAGTCGTAGATTTTGTTTGACTAAAATGGTCATTAGGTAAGATTGATAAAACATCTTGTAATTCGTTAGATTGTTCAGATATTAGATTTACAGAAGTCACATGATCCATATTAATTATTTGATATTGAAATACACTTTCTTCTGGTTCTATTTTCAATTCAGTAACAACTTGATTCAATTTTTTATCTAAAACCGAAAAAAATTTATTATCATGAAATGTCTACTTCAGTCAATGAGTTTATAAATGGATACTAAAAACTCATTATTTACAGTTTTGAATTCCAAAACAACTTCATTATTATTTAATTCTCTATGTTTCAATATTTTATCTATAATTATGATTATAGCTCTATCAGTTAAATAATTTTAATAACATTTAAATGATAATATCATGATAATATATTTATATAAAGTGTCTGTACATCATAACTCAGTGGTAAAGAATTATAATAAGTTAAAGCTGTCCCCATCAAATAACCTTAAAATAAATTGTTTAAAAAGGAGGCATAAACTTATATGAAATATTATGTAGCCTTTTAGAAATCTCGAAATATAATTCCGAAAATATTTTATAATGAAAGAATATTTAAACATTATTAATAGTTAAGAAGTTTATTTATTTTGGGGGGGGGGGTTAATTTTACTATTATTTTCATTATTAGGCATTTAATTTAATGAATAAAAGTCAATGTATGCAAAGCATCTTTCTGATTCCTTCGTAGATTTCTGTATTTTGATTATAAGCAAAAAATGTTGGACATTCCGGAGAGGGATGCATGATCATAATGGTGGGTGGCTCTTGATATATAAATGGACATGGAAGAACGTTTGTTTAGATTTTTAAATTATATCACTGTTTCAAGTATGGATTAACTAATAAATAACATGAAAAAAAAAATCCTACTTACCATGTAATAGTTTCTGGTGTCTAATTAAGCTACTCTTTCTTACAAAAGTTTTTGCGCATATATCACAACTAAACCGCAAATTACTATGAATTTTTTTATGTAGATTAAGGTTACTAACATTTGAAAATGTTTTACAACAAGTATCACAACAATGCATTTTTACCGATTTTGTAAAACACACAAAACAGCGAATATAAGTTTGAGTTAACTGTAGATTATTTAAACTGTATATAATGTTTCAAGTTCAATTACTAACATGAGTTAATTAAACAGGGCGAGATACACAAGTGTCGCTCACACAAAATGTTAAATGTCATATCGTACTATTCCTACCTATACATTCTGTCCCTTTCCCCCGACCTTTTAGGCACATCGCTAAAGATCTAAGTAAGACAATTTACGAAGGAATGTGAAACATTGACGTTTACTCATTAGCAAGAAAATTTCTATTAACAAACAGTAATGTAACTAAGTAATCAAAAAGAATTTGATTAAATATTATGGATATTTCTAACGTATAAATATTTTCTCTTTAATTACAAAATAACTGATTTCTTATGAAATAGTAAAATATTGTACATATTTATTATAAATATTTTGATTTTAATATCATAATAATGATCACTTTATCATAAGTATGGTTACACATCGTCTCCCCTTCTATGAAGAGGTAAACCGTTGATCTACTGTTATAATACATACGTTAGTCAGGGAGGGGAACTCTCTATGGTGATAGACATACATGTCACATGGCCATAGTTGGGTTCGTTGGGTTAATATGCCGCCGCTCGATTGCAAATTTCACATTTCATATTTCACATTTCACACTGTTTCCAAAGGTATATTTTATATCATTAGCATAAATGCCTTGCATTAATGAACATAATAGCAAAATTGAATATCCAAAAAAAAGAATTTTACTAAATATTATGACTACAAATAATGTTTAAATATTCTTGCACTATAAAATATCTTCATTATTATATTTTACGCTCGACATTTCTAAATAACTACATAATTATTATTATTATTAATTTATCTCAAAGCCGTCTGGAATACTGTGCTTGTGTATAAAAGAGCATAAAAAAACCCGTGTAGCCCAAAGCAACGGAATTGAACCCTGGTACCTATGCACTGAGGCACAACATGTTCCCGACTGAACTAAGTAGGCCATAACATAATTTTATATATTAGTCTATGCCTCATAACTTATGTCTAAGCCTATAAAGCGTATGTAGTATAATAGTTGATCAACGGTTTACTCCTTCATAAAAAGGGGATGCGATGTGGATACATGAATAACAATTATTATAATGAGGTTTTTATTAAGATATTAATATCGCGGACTATTCCTTCAAATGCATTTTTGTCCTTTTTGCAGACCTTTTAGACAAATCGCTAGTCATTAGAATTTGAAAGATACTATACACTAACGTTTACACATAGCAGAAATTAATACACACTGCCCGTAGTAGCGGACCAGCATTTTACTATGGTAAAAGACACACGTAGCATAAATGGATATAATTAATATATGCAATTTTTAGTCAACAAAATGTCGCAATGAGAAGAAATTGTCCAATTTCTTCTTTCACAATCCTCGTGTCGAATTGCAGATTGATCATTTCTCCCTATTTAGCAAAGATTTTCTATTTACTTACGCTTAATATGAAAGTTTATCTAAATTGCTTCACAGTGCAGTATACAAAATACTAATATACTAAATGACATTTCATCTATTTAAAACCAAATAATCTAAAAGACCACGATCGTTGAAAAACGTTTAAATGGACAACTTTTCCTCTCTGACTTAATCATGAATAAATTTTAATGGGATTGCCCCACAAAATACTACGTGTACATGATTCATTTTGCTATTATGACTTTAGAGTAAAGAATTCTTTACTTGAAATAATTAAAAATAATTAAATAACAACCTCTCTTCTAAATTATAAAAAACATTTACAATTGTTTTCTAAATCAGTTAATAGCTACTTACTATTGAATAGTTTTCATCGTAGTTCACAAATCTATTACCATTTACAAACATTTTACTTCCAAAATGTTTTTTAAATACTCTAATCCACAGTTACTTATAAAAATAACTAATAGATTATCATCCCTTAGAAATTAAAAAACAATTTCAATTTACATGATTTTTAACTATTACAAAATAGCAGAGAATAGACTTTCGTTAAAAATATCAGAAAAGTTAAAGTTTTTCAAATATTATATGGCTTGAAAAATAATTTTCAAAATTAACATCTTTGTTTTTAACTCACAATTGATGGATTCTGTTTTCAATTCTAAACCAACTTGATTATCATTTAGTTCTTTATATTTGAATGAATTTTCTATTAGTCAATTTATTAGTCAAAATAATTTAAATTAAATAATTATATAATTGTACAAAGAACTTTTTTTTCTTAACCAAAAACTTGGATAGACTGCCATCTGCAGTTATTCAACCAAAAAGTAATTTCGAAGGAAGGTTTTTTTTTTTTTTTTTTCACCGAATATTTTTTACTTTCCATCGATATTTAAGAAAACTTAAATAAGCAAAAAAAAAAAAGGTTATCGTGACTAAATAATTCAAACATTACTAATCAATTCAATTTCCAATTTTATACAGAGTCGTAGTGTTTTTTGTCTTTATTAAAATTAACGCGTGTTAACCGATTCGATAGCGAACAGGAACAAAGTCGGCGAATATTTCTAAATGAAAAATTGTAAGATATGATTTGAAATTAAAAAATAAAGTAATAATAATAATCAAAAAAATGTATTAATGTAATTTTACAAAGCAATGATGTTATTACACTAATTATTTATGAAATTAATTAAATAAAATTTAACTATAATAATAAAAATAAATATAAAATAATTTTATTAATAAATATATTAATATAGTTCAAGACAAAAGATAATAATCAGAGGATCATAAATTACAAAAGGTATCCCTATGTTTTAAATATAAAATATTTATATTAAAATTATTCATAGTTATAATTGATCTTTAAAAGTGTTATATATATATATATATTAAGTCCATGGTTGCTTACGTTTGTTGTACTTTTTGTACCTCAATTTTATTAAAAAAATTAATAATAAATGCTTTTAAAAATCACCAAAAACGCTTATTTGTTTTTCAATACGGCTCTTAACTTTTTCAAATAAATCTGGAGGCAAATATTTTTTAGCTAATTTTAAGTAAAATGTTGATACAGATTTGCTTTTTAATTGCATTTGTAATTTTTTTTTTATATTTCTAAGATTTTTTACTTCTTCTGTGTCTGGAGGAAATTCACCTCTTGAATTATTAGGTACGGAGGTTGATTGTTCCTCATTGTAATAATTATTTGATGAAAATGAACTATTCGGTAGATATGATGTTGTGTCCATTTTTAAGTGTATTACTGAGTTTGCGATAGTGTCGTTCTTAAATTGATTTTCAAAGTTTGCAGGACTTTTTGTATCATCTAATTCAGTTTTCAATAATAAAGGACTGAAATTATCAATTTGTGTTTTATTAAAATGATCATTAGTTTTAGTTGATGTTACGCCATTAGAATTATTGGAATGCTCATTTTTTACATTGCTAAGTGTAGAATTTTCAAATTCTAAGCTATTTTGTTGATACTGAAAATCAATATTTACAGACTCCGTTTCTAATTTAACAACAACTTGACTATCTTCCAGTTTTCTGTTTTTTATTATTTCATCTATAACAATTTAATAAAGTTTAGTATTCTATCACAAATTATTTAAAGAATAAATAATGTAAAAGAAACATTTATAATAGTTAATAGTTCAACGATTCAATCAAAATTATTATCTAATAAATAATTTATTGTTAAAATTACTTTTTAGATCAATACAATCAATTTTTAGTATTATCATAAAAACTACCACTTTCTCATGTAACATTAATCAAGCAAACTTCTCAAACCATTTTGGACATCCATTTTTGAACTTCCAGCTTTAGGGATCCATCAAATCATCCAACATCAACCCAACCTTCCAAAACAAATTCTTCTGCAAAATAACAAAAGCCCCATTTTACGCCTCCAATGATACCCTCCATAATGGTCTCTCCATCCCAACAGTCCAAAAAACTACCAAAACATTCTACGAGCGTTTACAATCTAAAACATTAAACCATCAAAACCCCTTGATCTTTGACCTATCCGTCCACTCTATCATTGGTGACCCCAAAAGGCACCTAAATCGAACGTGGTGATGACGCGACCTTTGGTTGACTAATCCACGATTTCACACGTCATGAAGTACCAACACTGGTTGGTCTCTTCTATCAAAACTTACTGTCTTTATATATTTACTTAAAATTAACATCATTTGTTCTTATTGTAATTAAATTTATTACAGATTGTAAAATTCCAAAATAAAATAGGAAAAAGCGTTATTGATATCAAATAATAAATGTTATTAACATTAATATTCTGTAACTTTTAGTCCTGGATGCCGAATTTATAATGGATCGATCAAAAAAATAAAAATTTTACATTGCATAACAGTAATAATATTGTATTTGACTACTTACCACTGAATAAAGTCGGAATTGCACTAGGCACAAGTTCTGAAGGTCCCAATAACATTTTTGTTTCGAAATGATTTTCACATATTTTATGAGTATTACTGAAACAAATTTCTTCTATACCACAGTTTTTTAGCCAAATACAACGAAGGTTTTCATCTTGTGGATAATTATAAAAAGTGATTTTCGAGTTGGTACTCTTATTGTAACAAAATGGTACAGAACAAACTATTGCCGTGTCCATTATGATTTAAATTTGTCTCGCTTCAATTTGTAATCAAAATAAAAACGTTTGATGTCCAACGATAACAGTTATCGCACAGAACGTGCCTTGTCAATTTAACAAACTACCTAAAAATGTCGTGAAAATACTCAATACTAAATATTCGTAATAATAAATAAAAGTGGGGATGGACAATGTGTTAGACGCCTTTTCGTATATATATATATACACACACATAAGGTCTAAAATGTTGTTCAATAGATTTAAGAGAAATGTGTTTATGCTCTAAAGAGACATCTGGACACGAAAAAGATAAAAATGTTGGTGTTGAGCATATACTGCTGAATAATTAGTAATAAGATAATTGAACAATTCGTTTTGAATAAATCAAATTGTACGAATCTTGGTAATTTAATCATACTCGTGTATACTTTAAGTATAAATTTAATTTATATATGAAACTCGTTTCCATAGTATATTTACTTTTCATTATTTAAACAGTTTCAAAATTAAACAGTTGAGAAAATTCACAATGTATCTATTTAAATGCGTTTCTTTTGAACAGCTGTAATCGCTTTTTTACTCATGCGTACAACTACTTCATTTCGCTAAAATTATCATGATATGACACCTCCTAGGAAGTCGACATCGCTGCGTGTGGTCGTTGATAGTAGGTAGAAACAGTACTTATTACTTAGTAAACACTTTGTTATTCACACTTTAGATGACTTAATAAACAATGACTTACGAAGGTTTGTATAAAAAGGGTACCACTTAATATTATATCCCTCTCGCTCATGTAAATGCGCACAGGGTGTTACCGTCGTTTAAAGTGGACTACTTATATGCGGGTTTTACAATGTAATCGGTATACAAGAGTATTAAGTACTCACGGGTAATTACTCTTTTTTTTTTTTACAAATAAAAACTGTACGAGCCACTCTTAATGACCCTACTGTAAAAACGTCATTGAAGTTCTTTATCGACACATGTACCCTAAACCAACTGGTTGCAACGTTTTTTTCAATAAAACCACATTACTCTTATTAAAAATAAAAGTTTTCATCGTTCCAAACCTTGCAGCGTCTACACAATTAACTCGATTAAATGGTTTAATTATTGTGCTAGACATGCACGTTAAAGCTGAACTGGCGCGTGTAAAACAATATTTTAATCCATTTATCGCCCCTGGAATAATAGTTGTTTAAAAAGTGATTCCGGTGAACACGGACTTCTGACGATTCTCGGAAATGTCTGCGGCAACACGTTTGTACATATCGTTAAAGATTATACTTTGCCTAAGTCTACGAAAAAAAGAACTATGAGTTGACCAGACCGTAAAACTGACGGCGGCTGGTACACATTAATATAGTACTTAACCTTTGAGTTCATCGTACGGCTGCGACTGGCTTCGCGATAACTTATTTCCTGAGTAATAAACATTAAGTCTTACCACAGTTTTTTACGACCATAGCTGGTGTTAATGACGAGTAACGTATAAAATAAAAAACAATATCATAACAAATAAACGATCGTAACACGTTTTGTCTTTGAAACAATGCACCCCAGCGACAATCTTTAATGTTAATGTAACGCACATCAAAAGTTTTATGTCAGTTTAGTAATGAGACCGAAAAATCCATTAAACCTCAAGTGTTCCACGGTAAAATCGTGGGACAGTAACACAATTACAGTGTATAGTAATATTCAGTGAGATAGGTAAGTTTTCTAAGCATTATTTTTTTGTGGTATGCTAAAAACGTAGTGTACGCGATTACTATGATTATCTACTCAAAGACATCTAAAAATTGTAAAAAAAACTAAAACGCCAAATACTAATATGCAATTTGTTGACCGATCATCACAGTCTGTTCAATTAAAAACAAATAGTATCCTTGAACATAATTCTATTCGTAACGCATTTACAAGATTTTTTTAACGATCAAATACGCGTACCTTTCTGGGTAGAAAGTCCTCAACAATGGTTTTATAAATGTTTTAATAAAGTGAAAAAGAGATAGACGAAAAATGGCAATTAAATGGGATTATACGTGATGCGCAGCTGTCAGATAAGAGTACAATCAACAAGTACGATGACTTTTACCGGGCGGCGTTGAACCGTTTCCAAAAATATATGAAACTAGTGATAGTGAGTAGAAACATATTCACGACTTAATTAATATAAGTCATAGTAAGGGCTGGATTTTTTAGATATGCACTTTTACTAAAAACTGTTGGAATCCCTCGCCCAATTAAAATAACCTATACTTGACAGGACGTCATATTTATTTTCTGTTTTAACTTTAATTCAAACGAATAAAACCGTTATCGTGTAGTAATTTAATTAAAAAAACCACATTGTTTTACTGATTTTTATAGCTGATTTACACCTTTGAGTATTTCTTAGTGAACAATAGTTGTCGAATGAATAATGTAAACGGTGTAAATAAATATTAAATTAGCGTTACTAATAAAAGCAAATTATTCGTCGAGAAGGAAATTAATTTATAGTCATTTTTTTTTTATCACTCGTATTAAATTCGTAAGATAATAACATTTGTTGCTCGAGTGATGACGCGTACTTTACGACGCAACATTTTATTTTACACGGTTGACAGTATACCACCACCGGTAATTTTATTTATATATAATTAAAACTCGAGTGATATTTAATTAAATAGGAGTCGCGTACGAAAACTGACTAGTAAACGTCTGTGATGAGCTTAACAAAAACTACTGAAATGTATTCTTATATATATATGTTTGGACTAGTTGATCTTAAACCGAAACTTGATTGGAATTCCGTAATCTTTTTGTCACGCACCAAGTTCGTAAAAAGGATAATTACAATGTTGTTTTTTTTGTGTATTTTTCCGTAATGCAACACGATCTCCGAGTGTGTGCACCGAAACTGTCATGGAGTAGGTCAGCGTCTGCACGCGGAGTAGTGCTGTTGGAACGGTCTGTGGAGGAAAAACCGGAGAACCCAAAAAACATTACGCGGGTCGAAGGCAGGTGGGTATTATGTGCTCATTGTTCGGAAGTCGTGTATTGTATTCGTGTACGTTTATGTGTTTCGACCTCGCAGCCAGAAACTTGTCCGCTCTTCTTGTAGGTACACACATATTCTACTTCTCTCCACTATCCGGTTGGCATCGTATAATGTGCGCTCCACACATCACTTATTGTTATTTATATATTATTCACCGATTCGCGTCCCTCCTTCTGTTTGTCCCGTCTACGAGGTGGCCGCGCGAAATCGTCACCAGCAGAGGCGTTGGCGGTGCCCTCCGCATCATCAAAATTACAATGGCAGCCACGCGGACGGGACATTAAGAAAAAGGATGTACGCTCCGTACGACGTCTCGGCTTGTACGTCAATTGTGCGCTTCTCAAAAGAACGGCCCCATTGTTCGATAAACGCGTGCGCACAATATCGGAATGCGCTACAATTGTTACTGTTGCGTAATACTGCGAACAAGTCGTCGCAAGACCAATCCAAAGAGATACAAAACGAGTGGCCCGAGGTCGAGTGTTGTTGCCCGCGCAGGTGGCACAGTTTTGCAGCCATTCCGACTCGGGTCGTTAAATCGTGTAATGTAATCGTAATGGTCTTTCGGCGAGTAACCCGCCGCCACATCGTAGCCAACGCGTCTCGGCCGAGGGTAGAATATTTTATTGCCATCGAATTTTATATTCTAAATGCCTCGGCGATGGCATTTTAAACTTGCCCGTTTGTGTCGCACGTTTTCTTATAATTGGGCGCGCAGCTATTGGGAAAATTGTGCCCATTTCGTGTGTGCGATGCCTCGTCGTTATTCGGCGGCGGCACAAAAAACTCCAATTGATTCCAAGTGACGAATTAACCGACAAATTTTCAAGACGTCAATTTGTGAACTTATCGCGCCGAGTCGAAACGTTTCACAAATAACTCGATAAAATCTACACAGCCAATTTTGAAAGCGACACTGACATTTATTTCGTATTGTTCGGTGGTTTTTATTTTTTTGTATAATGGGGAAAAAGGGTGAACCCGGCAACCGTCGCACAGAATATTCGTAGGCGGTCGACATTATGGTATCACAAAAAACTGTGTTGAAAAAAAATAAATAACCTTATTATATGTTTTTCCCTAAAATCGCTAAAAGGGGTGAGAACTGTGTACCGACGAGTACACCAGTCCATTCACACGGCCCTCGTGGGGCCAACGACGTGGGATAGGCGTACTGGTTTAACAGCAACGTCGATAACCATAGGAAAAAGGATAAAATGACACAGGAGAGAAAGTAGTCGTCGAATAATTTTGTGTCGGCCAAAATGTGTATAATGTCGTTATTACGAGTACAGTGTTATGGCCTGTCCTGCTGCTCACAACTCGATCGCCAGACGCGCTCAACGTCCCGTCTTCGGCACACACACAATGGTCGCGGCGATCAACACACAAAATGTAACGCATATAATTCCATTTCTTAGCTGTAAAACACCGCAGCGCCTCGGCCGCCTTCGAGTCTCTCACGGCCCAAGTCACCAATATATACGATCGGTTGTATATTTTTTTATAAGTCCGTTGTCCGCCTTACGGGTAGCTGCGGGGGGTCCTCGTTGTAAAGTGACCGCTCACTCGTTTTACTGGTAAATATCACACACTTAATAGTGTCCCATTTATGTGTGTACACGAATAACAAAGTTTATACCCGAGAAGAATCTCAAATAATTATCGGGAACAATAAAAAACACTGGCGACTGTGTGTTGTTCGGATTCCTTAACATGAAAAAATGTACGCAGGTCAGTGGATTTCGTGTTTATCAAAAAACAACTTCTACGAATTAAAAAATGGCTATAAAATAAGCTTGTTAAAAAGTGTTTTTTCGAATGCGATATTGTTATCTAATTAAATATTTGTGTTCGTATTTTTATAAATAGTCAGTTGTTTTTCGATAAAACATAATCTAGATTGTTAAATATATTAATTATTTATATTGAACTGCAGTTGCTCCGGTTAATTGTTTACTACAATTGTATTTATTATTTTGTGTAAACGGCAAAGAAAATCGAATTTCTGATGCTTATCAATTGCGATTAAGTCATTATTTGAATTCTGTTTTATTGGAAATTACAAATTTTACC